TTGACCGAATCGAACCTTTCTCAGGTCTACAGTACAGTACAGTTTGTACAATGTCCAATCTACAGTACAGTACAGCACAGTTCGTACAATACTGTATTGTACTGTACACTTGTACAGTACTACACTGTATTGTACAGGGTACAGTATACTGTAGTACAGTACAGTACACAGTACTGTAGTCTAGTCCTGTATGAAATTCCATCCTACCCACTTGAAAGGTTGGTCTATCCAGGTAAACGGAGGAGTCTATCAGGCTAGGCGTGTGCAAAATGAAATGTCACCCCTCATCCATGCTCTTGATTTGTTATTTTGCAATCACTGTGCTCCATATATACACTACATCATAGATCATAACGGTTGAACCGAATCGAACCTTTCTCAGGTCTACAGTACAGTTTGTACAGGGTACAGTATAGTACAGTACAGTACACAGTACTGTAGTCCAGTTTGTACAGGGTACAGTATACAGTAGTACAGTACAGTACACAGTACTGTAGTCCAGTCCTGTATGAAATTCCATCCTACCCACTTGAAAGGTTGGTCTATCCAGGTAAACTAAGGAGTCTATCAGGCTAGGCGTGTGCAAAATGAAATATCACCCCTCAGCCATGCTCTTGATTTGTTATTTTGCAATCACTGTGCTCCATATACTGTATACAGTACAGTACATCATCGATCATAACGGTTGAACGGAACCGAACCTTTCTCAGGTCTATAGTACAGTTTGTACAATGTCCAGTCTACAGTACAGTACAGTCTGTCCCATCACTTTTGTCACTTTCGGGCAATATTTTTCTTTCAAAATACAGTCAAGCTATCATAGAATGATATATTACATTGATGGAGAGATTCTGAAAGATCTGAATCTGGTAAAGTTAGAAAGTTAAACTTGCTCTTAAGTCCATAAATAATGAATGTATCGCTGACCGTTCTACTGTACCTGTCTTGATCAACTGTACTGGACACTACTTGTACAACATACTATACAATACTGTACTGTTCTGCATAGCTACCTTATTACACTACAGTATATCATCATCCAGTTACTGTATGCATTTCCTCATCATAAGCATTCTTCATCTACCGTACTGGACTCCTTCTCTGATGATCTATCTCCTCTATCTTCGTAACAACACCTGCTAACGTGTGTTGGTGATATTTCTCGAAATCTACTTTCTATCCTCCTCAATCTACGGACATCCTTTGGACATACGTACAGTACAGTGAACTAAATAAAATAATATAATATTGTACGTACAGTACAGTAATATGACTGACATTGTAACGATGACGAGTACCGGGTTGGACTACCGTACTGTACACTACAGTATGTGTCATGAATGTACAGTACGTACTTTACAGTACTGGACATTGTAGCCCACAGTACTGACTGTAGCTATCGCAAGCAAAAATAATGTCATCTTCTACATATACTTCCAGCTTGTAGAGACCGACAAGTTACAACGCTTCGGTTGAACCATAGAGGTACCTGGACGCGCGCATAGGATTCTTTCAATACGGTAGTTACTCTACTCTTCTCAGTTTTGAGTACTGTACTGTAGTCCCGGATGAGTGAGTACAGTAGTCAACTGGAAAAAAAGGTCCAACGCGATTTCCAGTGCTGCCCTGGCTGTCAAGCTGATCATCATGATCATTCTTCAATTCATTTAATTCAAGATTTAATTTATTTCTACATCTGGGACCGACAACAACTGATTACGCCACTATTGTACTATCTTACTACATATCAAGAATTGAACAGGAGTAGTATATTGCACAGATTGAGCAGGCAGGATTGGACGTGTGTCAATCAACGTTTAATTCAACTGACTCAACAACAACAACAACAAAAATCGATTCCACTGCTTCCAAGGGCATCACTTTCATTGGCACTGGCCATTGGTGTCTAGTGTATGAGTTAATATCAAAAGTTTCTCCAATCTCCACTACCACTGGTCCTGTAGCCAGAAAATCATCCAATTCATTAACAAGCATGGACAATTCCCAAGTTATACCGTCTAATGGTGATAGCGACGCCATGGAAATTGAAACAGCCAATCAATTAGCTGATGATGGTAAGCAAATTGATAACTACCCTTAATCACTGCAGATAGATAAATACTCTACCTATTTTACTCGTATACCTCCATGCCAAGTACAAGACGCAGTAATTTAAAAATAGATTCCGTCATTATGCCAATTGGATGTTGATTCGTACAAATAGAATTAGATACATTTATTTCCAGTTTTCAACCAACGTGTTTTTATGCTTTGTTCCCTACTGTTTAAACTGTCTGAATGGCGGGTAGAAGCCAAAGATAACAATGATGATAGTATCCAACGCAAGCGATTTCTCGTCGAATTGGAATTCGTTCAAGCACTGGCTAATCCACAATATTTAAACTGTAAGCCATTATTAATACAGTAGACGGTGTTTTTCCCATTAAATAATGTGCACATTTTCTCTTACACTTAATCTATCGTCATAGTGGATAATATCCAATGAAAGGGTACTACTAGTAGTACAGCGGTACTCTTTGTATAGCATAACCAACATCAATCGTATAGCTATAGTTTAAATCACTTTGTTGCATATTTAGTTCTAGCTCAACATGGATATCTTAGAGACAGCGCATTTATCAACTATCTCGACTACTTACAGTACTGGAAGCAACAAGAATACGTCAAGTTTGTGAAGTAAGTATCATCGCTTGGCAATCAATTCACTGTACTGATTTTGTACTGAAAGTAATTCTCATCTTGTAGCAAATACTAAAATAACATAAGCATAACTTTAATGTTACATCATACAAATATTGCTTATAATATTCACTCACGATGGAGTTTATATCGTAACACGCGTAAAACTTTATCCATAGGCATTCTGAGATCAATTTTTTCAAGTACTCGTTAATTATCTGCCTATTACAGTGAAAATTTGTCCCCTTACTAAAGTAATGACGATTAAATAGCCACCGACATTTCATGATATTATCCACATACAGTATACTGTATCATTACTGTAAAACGGTACTATTATCTACAATGAAAGTGGAAATCTCACATGGCACTAAACTTACACCTTTTCAATTCTATAAACGACAACTATTTCCTCACTTTTATCATCTGTTATTACTAGATATCCGCAATGCTTGCATTTCCTAGACCTACTGCAATCCGAGCACTTCAGACGGGAACTGATTAATAATCCTTGTGCCAAATTTATTGAAGAGCAACAATTGTTGCATTGGCAGTACAATACTCAAAGTAAGATTAAAGCTGTTGTTGAAGCAGCACGGCAAATCAAACAAGGTACGATTCCTTTGACTTGATGCGAAGAAATTTTACAATCATATAAAGATAACAATACTATGGGTATACAGAATGCAAAAATCATTTTATCAATGCAAGCCGATCTCATACTTTGCTGTAATAGTGTTCTAGTTGGACGAACGTTACGATTATACACTACTATTTAATTATGTCTAACATGATTATTTATTTGTACGTATTTAGAAAGTGGGATTAATCGAAGTCAATACAACAACGAGACAGTTATAAAAAGATAGTGAAGCACAATAAACGATTTTTACATTATTGGCAGTAATGGTAACATCAGCATGCCTGTCCTGTCCTATTCCTGCCTGATGTAACTGTACTAAACAAAGGTGTAATCGTATTCTGTGATTGTTGTCATCGTAGATACGCGAGTCAACACGACAAATATTCTAGACTTGGGCATAATCATGTTGAATTTGATTGTGATCACGTAAATATCAACTATTGATTATAACATTGCGGCCATTATGCATCTTTTAGAGTTGTATTCATTCCTAGAGTTTTAGTTTTGATTAACTGACATCGAAACTGATGTTATTCCTCTATCCTAATATCTTTAATAATCCTTTATCTGCACAAAAAATTATACGGCAAGCCCGTTACTGTAATCCCTCGTCGAAAATTCTATATACATCACGGAACTATTGTTGTAAAATCTATTATTTTATATTTATCTGTTCTGTATGTCTATTTTATAGGATTTGTAATATAAGAGTTTGTAGAATAGAAATAACCATGAGATCATTGTATTATCACTGGTATGCTATCTATATAATTTATAGTCGTAGTTATAAAAAATATACGTATCATTTTAGGCGATAATTTTTCATACGCGTAAGCGCTACTTCGACATTATGGTATCAACTGTACTGTAAAGTAAATATTATAGTCACTTCCGTTACTTTCGATGAATGATAACGATATAACTTACGCTCTCTCTTAATGCTGGTAACGTTGATCACCTTGCAAGAATTTGTAAAACAAATGTAAAATACAGTTATCATGCGCTGTATGGATTTAACATATCTACATTGGTATGAAATTTCAATTTTCTTTTTTTCCGTAATTATTGTTATTGTTACTACTTGATAACTGCGCTGTAGCCTGGTACAAGGAAGATGAGAGTTACAAAATATGACCGTTTATCTTCTATATTACTGCTATAGTTCAAAACAGATTGGTAAGGCAGTAAATATTGGATGTATTTCACATGCTCACCGCGGTGATTTCATTACCACTGTAGCAATTTGTAACATTTTATCCTACTTTTGAATAAACCCGAATAATTTGGCGGAATAAAATCACCTCGTTTCTTATAGAATACGAAATAATAGCATACAAAATAATGTAAAATTTTCACGGTGTACTTAGGGTATTGGTCGCTTTTACCCTATTATAAAAGCATTTCTCACAAAGGATTTAATATCCTGTATTAACACATACGCGTACATGGTTTTACTTCCGACAAATACATGTCACATATCTCTCTCAAATGTTAACTACAGTATATACAGAAAGCTGAAATTCTAAAGCGGATATATCTATAGTGCATTACAGCTAGCATATTGGATCATAATGAACAGCATTAAGCCACGTTTTATAAATTAACCATTTACACAATATTTACGAGAGCTAGCGGTAGGTCGTAGGTGTTTACGAATGTTGCATATCTTGCCAGCTAATACAATTCGAAGGTAAATCAATCCGAGTTTAGAACTGTAATGAATGCATTACGTATCAAAACTTAAGAGTAATTAGATTAAATAAGATCGATAAGCTGTTATTAACTAACTATACAGTAAGTTAAATACTCAGAGCAAATTGGACAGTGCGATATTAAGCTAGTACATTAGTTCATTACATCAGTTGAACGACTACACGCAGAATAGAAGAATATTTACCGCTAATGACGATGTGATGTATATATATATAGTATATATGTATTAAAAATTGCGTAGTAGATACAGTAATACTGTATGACGGACAGTTGCACTCAATAAATGACACATTTCAAGTTCCTCGATAACATTAAAGAAATAACGTCACTTATTACTTTTGCATATATCGACAGTTTTTACTCTCGCAGTTAAAATCCATAGCGATACGCTCGTATAAGCACAAAAGCTGTTCTATTCCACTAAGTATCATTGCAGTTGCTACATAATTATTCTGCTACCGTAAGCAATCAAGACCACATGTTTTACTATACAGTAGATTGCCGTAAGGTGTGAGAAATTTGGCTCAACACAATCCACCTTTACGGTCGGTAACCTATAACTTTAAAAATCATATTAATTGGTGCTTATCAAGTGAACTAATTTGTACTTTTAAACGTTTTATTGTTATTAACATTCTTGCAGATGATTATAAAAGTTAACTATACAAGTTATTTAAGGCATTTCTATATAAAATGCCTAATTGCTGTCGTAATTAAATCAACTCTCAGTTAGTATGGTAAAAGATTTAAAAGATTTTATACTACTATGCTAAATACTACAGTAAGACTACTTAAAAGATTTAAATTGGTATTATATTGCAGAAAGAGACACCATTATTACACGTGATCCATGCGCTCAATAATGCCTAACTTGATACAAAATATGTTATGATGTGGACGGCTTAGAATATCATAATACTGTACTGTGTAATACACTAGTGCAATCATTTAAAATTAATCAATTAACCCATACTAACATTACACACGTTAGCACTACATTATCCCATATTACTACAATTGAAAGAGACTAGACGGTTAAATAATATTTTTATACGAACTGAAGGTTCTACAGTCAGTATAGCAATATCCATTATTAATCAGATTACAGTACTACAGTGTAGTACCGTATTCATGCATTGATCATAATGTCGCATAATTGCTTGACTACTCATGAATAAACCACATGCATACCAAAAATTTCATACACTAACATCTAGCAATGCTCAGCTGGTACATCTCTAAATTACTACCATTACTGTTACAGAAGTAGAAATCCTACTCTAAGGAAATGTTGCATGTTAAAGACTTGTCTTGATCATATCCTATGAGAAAGCAGTGCTTTCTTATACGTCAGGCAACCATTTTAATCGGTTGGTCTTTTTTCAGCATATTTTCTCGTAAAATCTTCAGCGGACCTCATAAATTTCTTACGATCCTTGGAATATTCTTCAGCAATGTCGGTACGCAATGGATGCTCAGGTTCAGGATCATTAATAAGGGCTATTAAGGAGAAAATAACTATATCGAGAGGTAGATAATAATAAAAATGATTAAAGCATGAATGGAAAGGAATCGCTTTAGCCCTACTTTGCAGAAAAATATCTCTAATACTGTTAATGTAGAACACCGATGATTGGGGGGAGGGCCTAATGATGCTCCTTACTTTGATCCGTTTTTGTAGCGGGCTTCCAATTTTCCGGAGAAACTATAGGTAAACACACTTGACCTTTTTCATCAATGTTTGGGTGATAAATTCTAGTCTTGAAAGTAATCTAAAGACAGTCAATAAACACTCGTTACACGTTTATGAATTTATGATTTTAAAATGGATAGGATGTCAGTTGTTTGTATCAGTAGCCAACAAAGAAATAAGCATGATCGATTTTATAAAGACAGGAATCCACAGCGACAATGCGATCTCCAATAGGCTACAGCCAAAGATCGGATGAATTTTTAGAAAACTGAACAAAATACCGAACTGACCTTAGGAGGTTTAAAAGGATATTCAGCTGGATAGGTAATTTCTATTTTAAAGGCTCCTTTATTATACGGGGCACTATTCTAGTATATATAAAAATATTTACATATAAGAGTGTACAGTTGTATGAAAGTGATCCATGATAGATCACATCTCTTCTATTAGGCATTAGCAAAGCAGTTATGGTCAACATTTATTTTTTTTCAGGGTAATTTATTGGTAAGTTGTTGTTGCAACAGGATGGTATTACCAACTTGTTTCGACTACGGATATAGGAATAGATTATTTTATTCCATACTCGCTAGTCATTTTATCTTACCGGAACGATTAGCCCTTGCCAGTTTAATATGTTGGTTTCATTCACTTTTATATCACGAAAGCCATTAATTTCATTTTTTTTCAATTCCGCCAATTCCTAAAGGTGCATACAATGAAAAAGAAGGTAGTCATTACTTATACCGTTGAAGTGATGAAGATTTTACCAATGCGATCACCCACCACGACAGTAAGGTGTGTTGGATAAATTAATTAAGAATGAAGGCAGTCGTCTACAGAGTCAACTATTGCATGGTTTGATGAGTTGGTAACCGGCTTGAGTTGGCTAACGTGAAGAAATGGCTTTTGACGAGAGACAACGTAGCGCATCTCTACTATCATGACCGCGATAGACATTCAATTATTCTCATCACTCGCTGAATATGACATGAAGCATAGGAAAAAGCATATGAACCACTTGTCTAGTCATGGTCAATGAAGCAGCTTGCAATTAAAAAAAAAAAAGGCAGACACTAAGGAGAATTCGAGCAAAAATTCGATTAGTTGATTTTGAGATACAGTAGGTGAAGAAGATTGGAAAGGTTCTACCGTCAGAGTAAACGTGCTAAGCGCTATGCATAGTCATTATCGCTAGCGTAGCGCTATACTGGACACTAGCATGGATTGGAGTGTAAGGTACTCAAAAGCATGACAACGCTTGTAGTTTGCCTCATGCTGCTGGATCGATCATTTTAGCCTACCGTAGCCCTTCCAATGGTTCATCGTATAATATGAATGGATAGGCTAGCGGTGAAGATGGACGATTGCTGCCATGATTAGTGACTTTTTGGATACAACATAAGAAAGTTCTTGGTCGTGGTGAACAATACTGTAGAATTATCCACGTCAAAATAGAAATCTACCCCACTGGATTTGTAGGGTAGAAAGTTCCTTTTGACGCGTATCTATCTTCCTTTATGTAATGTACGCTTCAAGCCATGGATTCAATGTAGCCCCTAAACTACTTTGATCAATCCATGAACAAGGCCATCACTGATACCTTGAATCCATTGATTAGCATTGAAACTGCGATCATGATTGAAAACTAGGACGAAATCTTACCTTAGTTAAACGACGAGTAGCGGCCATCTTCTTTGTACAGTAAGGTACTTACGTATGCACTGGTGTAGTTGAAGCAGTACAGCGTTTCATTCGACTCTTGCGTTGATACCGCCCTATGTGCTTGTCCACTTGGGTATACTGTGTTGTTGTCGGGTCAGCCACTACGTCACACGGTCTAGTCCCCAAATTAATTTTTCACTCTTCCTGTAACGTCAACTTTGAACGAACGATCTAAACGCTACATTGGCCCACTCAGCCATTGGCTTTTTTCTACAGTACTGCCCACTGTACACTGTACACTGGACACTGGACTGGAGGGTACAGTACAGTGTGAACCAGTTCGAATCAGAGTACTTTAAGGTACCCTAAAATCACGAGTGTGAATCAAAATGTAATAAGAATTATACGAATATAAAGCTGAATAACTTGGCTTTTTAGTTTAATTGATTAAAATAAGGTTATTAGAGCAACCTTTACGTAATATTGTATTAAATTCCGAATTTTCTACAGTACTAAGTAAAAAACATGGAAATCTAACCATCGCTCCTCCCAGGGTAAGATATCCTACAGTACAGTACAGTACAGCATGCGTCAACTGTACAGTACACTGGATAGTATTGTAGGCTACAATGTACAGTACAGTACAGTACAACTTGCGTCGACTGTACTGTACTGTACACTGTACTCGATGACCTGTACAGTACTGTACACTAGACACGGGACTAGACTGGACTGGATAGTACTGTAGGGTACAGTGTACAGTACAACGTGCGTCAACTGTACTGTATACTGTACACTGTACTCGATGACCTATCGAGAATTCGAGATGGTTTAGCTCGTGATTACTTTGCAAGTTCGCATGCTTGTTTACCAACTGAAAGTAGACTATTGCAGACTGTGCTGGTACAATATGACTATTTACCTTCGCATTCTTCAATGGTTGTACTGAAAGGCGAGAAAGAGGGATAGACAAAGACAACTGTTAACCCTAACCTTATACTATCCACACTGTACATGACGGGATGGACGATTTTACTGGTCATCTCAACTCAACTGAATGTCTGAAATGATACTGTACACTGAGTGTACAGTGCGCAATGGTCATCCAGCTGCTTGGTTGATTTTCAGCAACGTGGTGTACGCTTTCAGTGCTAACGTATAGTAGAATGACCAGAAAAATGATAGGCCCGTCGTCATTTTGCAGTCAGTCACCACAGTACAGATCTGTAGCATAGGCGTAACATATTTTCACATACCGCTCATGGCTGGTTCAGGATAGGACAGAGTGACGGAAAGGGACATCAAATCAGATCAAAACGCACGTTCAACTGTACCACTGTACTGGACACTGTGTACAGATCTGTAGCATAGGCGTAACATATTTTCACATTCCGCTCATGGCTGGTTCAGGATAGGACAGAGTGACGGAAAGGACATCAAATCAGATCAAAACGCACGTTCAACTGTACCACTGTACAGTACTGTACTGTACTGTAATGTACTGTACACTGTGTACAGATCTGTAGCATACTGTACAGTACTGTAGGTGTAACATATTTTCACATTCCGCCCTTGGCTGGTTCAGGATAGGACAGAGTGACGGAAAGGACATCAAATCAGACCAAAACGCACGTTCAACTGTACCACTGTACTGTACTGTACAGTACTGTACTGTACACTGTGTACAGATCTGTAGCATAGGCGTAACATATTTTCACATTCCGCCCTTGGCTGGTTCAGGATAGGACAGAGTGACGGAAAGGACATCAAATCAGATCAAAACGCACGTTCAAGTTCAGAAGATGTTCAGAAGCTACAAATTGCGCTGACCGAGAACGGCCTAGTGATCACGCTGACAATGGCAGGCGGTAGCAAAAGTGCACAGCAAAAGTTGGCGTACTCAAGTCGACGATACGATTTAGGCGTAGAAATAACTAACAAAAATAGTCAGTCTTCCCTATTTCCACTACAGTGAACGCCTAGTTGACGTATTCTCCCTCTTTCTTGATTATTAGACCTCTTCTTCAAGTTCAATTCTTGTTTTAGAAGGCAGCAAATGGGAGTTCTACTCAATGAATGGTCAGGGACTACTCAACCATTTTTCCCCTCTAAAGACGAGAAAAATGGTTGAGTAGTCCCTGGTATGGTAGTCCAGTGAACGATGCTTTGTATTCGAAATTTTAAAGATGATCAAAGAACTCAATATTGCAGTAAAAATTTAAAATGATTCTTCATAAAACATCAAGTGCCCACTTTTCAAGGTTGTCAATTTCACCAAGGTATCCATGACGGCCAATACATACTAAGGCATAGACTGATTACAGGCCGGTGAGCAGCAGCCGGCAATAACATAACATAAATTAAACCCATTCTGTACAGTAATTCCTCAAGCTAAAATGAAATGAATTTACTGTAGGATAATTTACAAACTATCACTATGTTGCCTTCTCCATTCAGCAGCGATCAAGAGAAATTTACAAACGCCAAATGATACTCAGTGACGATTAGTTGACCTTAATCAATTCAGATACAGAAAATTAGATATCAACCTGGCATCATTGACCAATACAGTATACTGAATTGGCTATCAACGCGAGGTATCGCTCACATGAACAAAATGAAAAATAAATAAATAAAACTCTCCATCATTGGTTAGGAGTCAACCTATCATTGAATAGTCATTCTTTTACTGCTTAATACCTTACATTATCCACTTGTTAGGATTTGCATTATCTTAACGTGTTATTGGTTCTATTTCTATTTTTTTTACAAAATGAAAAATAAATAAATAAAACTCTCCATCATTGGTTAGGAGTCAACCTATCATTGAATAGTCATTCTTTTACTGCTTAATACCTTACATTATCCACTTGTTAGGATTTGCATTATCTTAACGTGTTATTGGTTCTATTTCTATTTTTCTTTCAGACGGAAATGCCATTGATGTTACAAACAAAAAAAATAGATACTCTTCCCAATCAGAAAATTAACCTAACCTGCATTATCAAAAATATTTATAGCAATGTAGGCCATTACACTCTGTACAAGTGGTACATTTATAATGACTTCGCTCAAAATAAGCAACGTCAAGAATTTGTTATTGATAAATTGCAAAAAGTGCATCTCGATTTTTATATACTGTATGCTGGACTCGTTACGATATACTAAGGAAAAATGCTTTCGTCTACTTATTCACAAGCAGTAAGCATATAGATAATTACAATTTAGAAGAATGATTTGATGCTCGTGACATGGTTTCTAATTATTTTATACATCACAACCAAGTTTACCATCTAAACCAAGTATCTCTCGTATCCTGTTTTCCAACACCAAACCGATATGGAAACAACAACCAAGTCTACCTTGAAGGACGTTATATCAATTAAATGGAATCCTGTGAAGAACTTGGGTGGATCCAATGTTGATTATATTCTGCAATATTCCAATCGTACATAAACTGGTAGGTCCACATATTTGTATTGCACTGCAGTTAACCGTGGAAAAAAATATCAACATATCATAGAAATGGATCAACCAATCCGAAAATTGATCTACGACTTATTGCTAGAAACCACACAGGAAGTGCCTATAGCGATTGGGAAGAATTTGCAAGTCTGTAAATCCAACAGAATAGATTTAGATTTAAAGCATAGCGAGTAGCAGTAAAGCGTTGCATCTGTTAGGATAGAGTAGGAATTTAACTCAGTAGTAATAATAAATAGGATAAACCTAAAGAAAACTTTTGATAGTAACTGTAAAAGATATAGATATCTACGAATATAGCGTAGACACTTAAGTAGGAAGTTAACTGAAGTAAACCGGCAAAAAACCGTACTGCAAGAGACATCATTACATAAACTACCATAACTACAGTAAAGTGAATATCTCTGCGGCATACCGACACTTGTGATTGTAGATTTGTGTGCCATTTGATCAAGTATGAAGCTAACTGAAATAAGCTAGCGAAAATTGTGCTTAAGAGACTTCATTGCATAAAGTAACTAAAATAAAGTCATTAGTAATGTTTTATTGCTTTAGAAGTCATAAATTTCGAAATAAATTCTATCTACTTTAATTTATTGAGCTAATAGCTAAATGTAAATGCGTAACCATGAAGGGGAATCGCGGTGGAAACAGATAAAAATCCTCATGCTTCGATAGAATATCAAATACATGATTTACGATATTATATTAGGGGCGATCTCGGTTTGAAAGACCTCATTCCTCTAAAATATCTTACACTCGGTACAGCCATAAAATTTTCGAAAATTGATCAGTTTGCAATTCCCGCAGATTGGAATAAAGGATTTTTAATATTTGGATTTGCTGTTTCCCAACAAGATTTACAAACTTTAAGCCGTAGTAATTTGCTGAGCTGATGAAAATTTCAAATACTATATCTAAACGAATGCAAGGGGTACATTTATTATCGCTATTTTGGCTCTCGGTGATAATAGTAAGCATATACTCGTATAAACTGCAAATTTAACCGCTTTCATAATTGGACGACGTAGTTCTTTCTGGATAAAATTCTAATGAGGCTCATTAATGCATTCTCATTTACAGCATAGTCGCCGCTGTTTTATAAAAGAATGGTTACTGCTTAACATGCTGATGACCAAATTTACTAAGCCAAAATTTAGCTCTGGTCACTCATAATTGCCATAGTAAAGCACTTAAAAGGTTAATCTTGATCAGAAAGTGCTAATTAATAGCCATAATTTTCCAACCACACTTAATTTCTTAACAGATTTTTGCAGCAGCCAGTACTGCTATAAACGAAACATCGTAAATTGTCAGTAACTAGATGGGAATTAAATGAATAATTAAGTCTATGCATAAATACGACACCATTAACTTGCACTCATTATATAATTGGTAAACAATAACATTATCATTGGTTTTGCAGCAATTCAACAAGTTGTTATAGTTGATGTTGAAAATCGCTGTTAATGTTCATACTACAATTTTTTCTTATAATAGATAAGTAGAAAGAATTGATGAAATTTTAGTCGATTAATTTAAATACGGTTATGAATTAGCCGTTGCATATTAAATTTAAGCTACACAATTAATTTGAGTAGAGGCACGAACATTAGCTAAAGGCTACCTGATGACAGTCAAATTGTAGTTAACATAGATTGCACAAGTACAATATTGGTACTCACGATATTAAACTCGATTGGGGCAAATTGCACGTACATCTGTAAATGAATGAAATTTTGCTGCCTCGTTAAATTAAAGTAATATCCAATATCTATACGCGCACATTTGATGCATACGTTGCTATTATACGAGTAGTAAATATGAACATATTTCCGAAGTCCTATATCCAACTTACTATAGAGGATGCTTTACATATACGTATTTCAATTTCTAAAGTTATAATATCAAAAATTCAGAAATAGACATTTTTGCTAATTTATACCCGGTATATCTAGGATGCAAATGGCGTCATACAGTAAAATGGTAATGATTACTGTATGAAATAACTATTTGCTACAATAAAGTCACAAAGTGATTTATTATCGGTGTTTTATATAATTAAGGTTAATAAATATTTTATCCAATTTATGTTTGAATCATTTTAGCTTGCTGGAATAATATAATTATACTTTAGTAGTATTATGAGTACATTGAAGAAAGGTATGTATAGACTAATATAGACTAAACAGATTTGTTAATGAAAGGCTTTTTGCGTTGGGTTTCTCGATTTACGTAACATGCGAAAATTAACGAACTAAAAGAAGGATAAGATGGGGATACTTATTTCAGCATCGAGGAAAAGAATTAACATTTGAGGAATAACATATTTCAAATGACTTAAAGTTCAGTCTTCAGATATATTTAATAAACTAAATGGAAATTCTTTTTACCTCGTGTTTTCATAATATAATGGAGCTAGTTTTATACTAGACAAGCACTATATAAAGTACTAAAGCTAACTTTCCAGAAACAGAATATATTTTAAAATAGTATGGATTAAAAAAATAGACAGCTGTACGATTAAGTCATCATTTTAATTATGACAATAATGTTATTGATCTTATCTTATTACTCGGGGTAGATTTTGTTCCTACAATGCTCTGCTGTATTGAAACTGAATTACTTTTTTAATTTAAACTATTACTAGTAGCACTAATCATTTTAAATTATGGTTTTATTTATAATATGTTTATTTTCACAAATATTTTTCTTTTAATATTTCATTATCATAGTTATAGATGCTGCCATTTTAATTTAATTATAGGCCGTATTCGGGCATCTTTAATTAATTGCAATAGGTTGTATCTATTCCTAACATAGAAGATAGACCCGGTTATTAGATAAATGATACCTTTGTATTCAACAACTAATTTTACAAACAGGAAAACATGAATAAATTTTGTAATTCTTTATCCAACTATTTAGCTTTACAATTTTTCATCAACATCGTCTTGTAAATATTTTATTCTACTTTATTGTTTTGGTTATTTCCTAAATTATCTTCCGCTAGTTTTGTACTGATGGAGTGATTACAAATGTGATCATATTCGACGTTATTACAAGCATTTATGAGATTATCGATTCTTCTACAACTCAAAGCTTCAACATAATAGAGACATTAGTAAAAAGATTGGAATGCATTTGTGTTTAAAGCAGCAGTAACTGTATATGACTATGATTACTTGATTGTGTATCATATAATTCTATTTTAACGCTTTACTGCTAACCGTTTACGAATACAATTTCCGGACAGCTATGGTCATCATTGGCATTACTCGTAGTCATTACATAAATTGTAAGTCCAAATATGATGACGTAGAGTTTAATTCTTATCAGTTTAAAAGAATGTTGGATCCTGATAGTACCCAGTAAACTCTTCAAATTCCAATATACTAATTTTCTAACTTGTTATTGTATTCCGATTTAATAATTATATAATACATTATTTAATAGTTATGCTTACAATAGTCAAAGGATCTGTTTGCATGCCATATTTAAAGTATTACTATTTTAGCTTGTTTACTTAATTTCATAATTCACTAGGTATATATATATATTTAAAGAGTATTTTTTATGTATTACCGTATAACGAAAATCCAGTTGAGTTATGCAAGACTGCAGTTTATTAATTAAAGCGAGGATTCCACGTATTAATTTGCCATCGTTTTGTTTAAGCTATGGCTTACTCGTGCAGTATTATTTCTTGTATTATAAAAGAATGTAAGTATGAAATATCGTAAATAGGAATCTATAGTGACTCTACGCGTTAGAAGGAAATGATAATCGAAGGTTACGTAATACGAACTGACAGTACTGCAGAATAGAGATCTTAGCTATTCCTCGAATATGTCTGCAATCATTACTAGTTAAAGCATAATTAAAAGTTAAAAAATATAGCAGTCCTTGAGTCCAGACTAAGAGCTCAGGGTTTTTAGAGCATTGACTAATTAGCTAATTAGTCTTGATCAGCTATAGAAAATGGCTGATTTTCGTATACGTATTGATCCTTGACTATATTTATAAACGGCTTTAGATTGAAAATTTGCAGTAAAGTCGACTAGTCTTAATTAATTATAAGCAAATGGAGCTGATTTTAAGGATTTTAAGAATTCAAACCATAATATATATTTTCGCCTAGATGAAAACATTTTAATCAATTTATTATTCATTTTAGTTAGTTAAAAAGTAAAACGGCAGCTCAAATTCATTAGAATTTGAGATCTAATTGTAAAATTATAATTCAACAGAAATTAAGTCAAATCAGTTGACCTTAGTTAGATATAAGAAAGCTATAAACTATAAAATGTAGGTATGAATTAAGCTCCAATGCCATTGCAATTAGGCAAAGAAAATTACAGTCTTGCACTACAGCAAGATATAGTTTCAGATTGATCATATCGTAATGGATGTTTCCCGGTACTTACAATAATTTAATGCTTGAAATCTACAGCAACATTTCTTCATGATCATCGTCTTGAGTTTCTGTATTAACCCATTGTATTGGATGGGTATTTTGCAAGCCATCGGTGCTTGCAACTATAGTTTGAGTACTTGGATTGTGTACTTGGTAGTTAACATTTCTTGATAAATGATCAATTCTTGGATAGCTTGAAAAATTTATCTCTTTGGTACGAAGATTAAATAAGTACATAATTTCATCGCGAATACTACTAGTAAAAAAGGATACTAAAGCTGGATTGATGATAGGATAAGTCAGTGCTAAATAACGAAATACAGAATAGACTAAACGTGTTGTCTCGTTAAAATAATATTGTTGTACAACAAATAGAATAAAAAAAGGCAACCAACATATAGCAAATAACCCGAGGACAAAAAATAATTGCCGAAGTACTTTTAAATTTCTGGACAAGTTGGATTTTTGCACTGTTTGATTAATAGCATCGGCTAAGATTTTAGAGCCGCTCTTACGATTAATTTTGACAAGTGCTACTGAATATAGCATAATTGTGGTCAACATTGGAATAAATATTAATGTCACAAAAAAGATCGTTTGAAAGATTTGATCGTTTTGAATTATTTGATGACTTCTGTTATCGTAGACACAAAATTGACTAGAATAGGGTCGATAAGTATAGAGTGGTATAAAACCAGTTACATAAGGAATAATCCAAAATCCAGCAATTAAAATAGCAATATTTCTCGTATTGGATAATATTCGATGACGAAATGGTGTCAAAATGGACATCATTTTATCCAGGCAAATTCCACATATGTGCAAGTTATAACACGTAATAGAAGCAAAAGCAAAACTTGGCGATGTTGAACAGAGAAAAATCGATTGAAAGCGCCATTCTTCAAATACCCGGCCGGGGAAGATATAGACGATAGGGATAGTGCATCCACATATAAACATACTACATAATATGGCATTGGATGGATTTCGCAAATTTTTGCGAATTAGAATGATCGACAGAACAAATAAATTGATCACTAAAATTAACATTGCGATTACTAGCCAAGCTGAGTTTTCGGCATTTAGGACAATTACTTTAGGGTCAGTTGTAGTAGGTAAAGTTAGATTAAGGCCACTTTGATTCCGCATACTGTAGTTCTTGCAGTAATTAACGGAGAAAGGTTTACTCGGATATAAGCAATAATTAGAATAGCCACAAATTATGCCTTGGTATTTACACTTGCTTGAGAGATATTACAGTGAGTGATTTTTCTATGTCAACGTAAGGAAAAGATTAAATAAATTACTGCATTATTTTCATACTTATGTAGCTAAAGGTGATAAAAAGATTTGTCTGGACTTACTGTATCATGAATGGACTTTACCTTACAGCATGTCAATGGATGATCTATGCAGATATCCCTAGAGGAGTATGAGGAGACTGGATAGAATCGTTACTTTTGGCCGAATGTAGTCAAATAGCCTTTTCCAATTACGGCTATTTCCCAATATTTTCAATATGCAAGCTTTAACTGACATATAAAAAGTCTAGTAGCCTTGTAGCCTGAAAGATCAAGATTATAATTACCGCTTTATAACACAATTCATGTCGATTGTTTACGGATTTTAATATGAAGAAATCGACCGTAAAGTGATACTTCTAAATATAACCGAAGGCGATTAATTTCTGACCTAGCCTCTGAACTGCTAATACTACTCTTTTAAATCCAAAGCTATAAAAGTAGAAGCTTATAGTATTACTGAAAAGCTGTCGATATCTATGAACAAATATATATAGTGTTGTTTAGTATGGAATTGGCTTAAACCGCGTATAAGTGCTAAATTACCAACCTTTCACATAAGTTGAAAGCAATCAATATAGCTACTAGTAAACAAGATCAAGACGCTTATTACCTTGAGCAAGTCAACCTGATCCAGTTTGATATTTATTTATTAAATACGAAGATGTGGAATAGACACTATTGACTATAACCTCTTGTTTGATAACTTATCATCAATTTACAATGATCTAGTTAAAGTTTAGTATTTGCGGTCAACGGCTGATTATTGATTAATAAAAATGTGATTAAAGGTTACTAAAATAATAATTGTTTCGCCTCCGCAGTAAATGGAATAATTTCATTACGTCAAAATCCGATTTCTAACAACTTGTGCAATAAATAGTTTAATGATTGTACTAATAATCAGTTTTAGTTGACACAAATAAATGATTTTAAATTTGTTTGTTTGGTTAGTATCATGAATATATTAATTAAATCCTCGAAACATGACAGGTAGGATATTAGCGGGCATACGTTAACGCAACAAAATGAATTAGCATAGGCAGATCTTTAACAGCATGGTATCTACAAGATCTAATTAGATCAATGGAAAAGTTGTGTGTCATTTTTTAACTACAATAGCGTGAAGGCTTGCTGACAATATAGAAAATAAATTGGTTAGATTATGGTGAAACTTGGTGAAAGGTTATGATTGATTAGGCTAATGTTAGCTATAATTGAATGTGGACACAAATACCGTATAAATATCACAGTGGAATGTAAACTATCCTTGACAGTGGTTGATAGGTTGTGAAATATGTTATTATAGTACGCAAGGTTTATAATGATTTGAGTACTTAGTATATTGGCTATATAATGCTATTTTTAGTAACTGCAAAAGTACCTGTATACCTATAGTATATCTAAGTTCGGAAAAGAGAATTGTTTATCTCTATAGTTCTTTTTTACCGTATGAAATAGAATATTACTGATTTTAATGATGTAAAGAAAGACATTAAGCGCAGGTATAATTTAATTTTTACTTACGTATATAGAGGAATATCCTCGTATTAAAGCATTTGATCATGTACTGATTTTATTTAATTAAATATCTTCGAATTTGTTATCATCAGCCTCTGATACGGCAGCAACAACAGTTACGTTTTGTACTCCGATACTGTTTATCTTGAACTTGGCACAACTAGAACGAATGGATAGCTTCGACAATTCTTCTAAATAGAAATATTTCCCTTTTTATTATAGATATTTAGCTTTAATTATAATAACATGAACGCGTGTCAAAAAGGTAGCATTTCATCTTATTAGCTTCATAATTTTACATCATAGATTTTATATATCTGTTTGTTGCCTCTATAAATCCATAATATACGATGTAGTTGTAGCGTGAAACACTGTAATTCAGTAACCAAACAGAATCGATCCTTTTTTATACTAAAGCTGCAGTCGAATACTGGTAAAAGTTTGCGATGTAACATTAATGATATACCGGTTATAATCAACAACAGTTTTCCTAAATATAGTATGTAGCCATTGGGAAATAACACACATTTTTTCCTACAATATTGATAAACAAAATCTGACTCTATAGGATACTTTTGGTATGGCTCATGATAACTGTTTACAATTTGATAGAATTGAAATCTACTTTATCAATTATATCGTAGTAGTTTGCAGTTATTTTGTTCCTTAAAGCAGCATCATAATTCACGTGTCTTACTGATATTGAAGAGCCCGTGATGGAGCATAAAACTTATAGAATTTAATGCAAGTAATCTCATGAATCAAGTTTCAATAAAATTACTTTAGTAATGAGCAAGACATTGGCGTTAATATATCTGAGTCCATATGGCGTATGAGAGGAACTATAAATTAGAATAAGGAAATTTTATAGATTAGCACAGTGGGTAAAATTGATGCAACATTTACATAGGTTTGCATGGTATTTACCGGTATGCATCACACATTCGTCCCATCCAGGCTGACCCCAAGCACTTTCTCTAGCTTCGGATCGTGTTGGTAAATCCTTATAGGCTAACGGTGATAAAAATTAAAGTACAAATGAGCAATTGACTATATGCAGCAAAATTTTTAAAATGGATAATGAATAGTTAGTTATTGAGTATTTATAACCTATGCACCGCACCGTTGGTACGTTCGAATACAACTGATCAATATTAAATATGAGTTGAATACGGTAGCATTAATTGTATAATTTACAATAGTAGCAACTACGTATGAGCTTTTGGTATCAAAGCATCTAGATATGGATTCCTTTGCGTTAAAGTAAGCGATGCCTACGTATCATGAAAGAATTGACTTACACCATATATGATGAACAGTATATAATTCACCAATTTGCGTGAAAAGACCACATACAGGCTCATTATAATCTTTACGATAATTTATTCCTTTAGCCCTAGATAATACAAGTAGAGATATGGTAGCGAAAAATTTTAGGTAATTCCTTATAGTAACGATACTAATAGAGTTAGATTAAAGGTTTCTTATCATGTTCGATTTGGTAAGAAGTGACTAAGAAATTCTATTACAAGTTTTTTTAATAGTTAATTTATATATTATAAAGATTGCAAGGCAATTACTACGTGTTTTGATTATTTGCGACTACATGTATGTATTAAGACGAATGAGGAAACCTAATTCGTCTATAGCCTACCAATGTTGCGCCCACTCTAATAAGCTTCCAGGCTACAAAAGAAAAGTTACTTGTGAGCTCATGAGAATTGAATTAATATATTTATGATAGATACCAATAAACGTTTACTGCCCATGATATGCAAAAACTAGCATTATGATTATGAATACAAATGCAAGTGGCCGTAAGCAGTGAACACACATAGGAGGTAGAATAAAACTGTATAGAGTATAGATAGCTATACACCATCTATCTGGTCTTATATTTGCGATAAGTGAGAAGGATTAGCCGCAATCTATCTCAGAGAAAATATTTGTTTGACAGTTGGATAAATAGATTGATTGATAATATTCATATTCAATCTATATTACGAACCTTTAGATGGTAGGTTCTAAGCTCGTATATATTACCGCCTGATCTAGGTTTGACGTCTCCCCAAAAACCGAATTCCTGACATAGATGATTATATCGTTTGGCAAGCAATTTATCCATAGCTTGAAGTACTTTCGATAAACCGGGATCATTTCGGCCGTGGCGATAGGTTTTTTCGTAGGTCTCATATCCGTTTTCGTGCATAAACATATGAACTGTTTAAGCAAAGGGTCACATATGGTGACACAAATTATTAGTCTTCATGTTTTAAACTTACTATCACAATATCAGCAAGTATTATAACTCCAAGTATCGATATATTTATTACACAATCATATATTAAATCACCACGAATGAAGATGTTAAAGATTTACTACTATGAAGGCAGACATAAAAACTTTCTCTTATCGTACAGTAAAATTGCAACAGTACTATGGCTAAATCGTGATTTATTCATTATCCAATTTTAAGAAAGGATATTAAGCAATAGGTGTACCTTTTCATATTGAGGTAATGTAATCTACTTAAGTTATAGTGATGTTAGAGAATTAATATCTTATGATAAAAAGTACTTCACTATCTTTTATGCCAAATAGAATAACATGAGTTACTCAATCTAGGTCATTTTGGAGCAAAATTTTCTATCATTATAACTTTGTTACTGTATAGGCTGAAGTGTGTTAATATCCAAGTAGTCGATGTCTTAACGTACCAACTTGGTCCTGCTGGCCAATCTGAGTAGTCCAACTACCCAATAGTTTGCTAGGAATAAGTTCATTAACTTCTGGCAATGCCGTCTCACTATAAGAAAAATGGATAGATACACACGTTAGTTTGTCTATCATATTTCATCTGAGCATTTCAGTTCCTTCTAATCCTGGACAAGTATCATGAAATTATATGAAAAGCAGTATACAGTAAATGAGATCATTGCTGGAGCTATTGGAACTTTCTATTTTTCTGTTATACAAACACTTGTTAATAAAAGGACGAAGCAATTGATCATCAAAATAGGACATGATTTATCATGATCTCTATTGGTTTCAGACTTACCATAGTTTGACGTATTCGTTAAAGTGTTGGGGTTGGACGATATGAACTGCAAAAATAGAAATGACCTGAGATAAGATTATACAGTACACGTATTGCAAAATGGATTAATTCTGCCCAAATTACATCTCTACTATCACGATGTACAAGCGCTTTGCTATTTGTCATCGTACTGAAACTAGAAGCAGGAACAGATGTACTGTTTAAAAGGAATATTGATAAAGCTCTACTAAAAGTGTCCTATTCTATAGTCCTCCATTGGAACGGTCATGGAATCCCTTTGAGGCAATTCTCTTGCTAGGCAGAGTAGGAGATGTTGGCACCTACTGCTGTTCATCGACTATTTCAAAACAACAATTCTAAAGCAAACAAAGGCCAATGCCCATTGAAAGTAGAGTACGTATCGACTGAAGAGTATCTTGCTCATCGATTGAATCGATGAGCAAGAGAGATTGAAACAATTACTAGGAGATTCATTGAATGATTGTTATAGAGGAATAGAACGTACATTGCAATTCATAAATGCGATGCGAATCTGTCAATAATTTGGAATGGGGCAATTCACGTTTTCCTTTCTTGCCACCAAATAATAAATTAAGAAATCCTCCATTAGCAGGCGCTTTCTCTCGGACAGATTCATTGGCATTTTTCTTAGTGGTTGTACTGTATGATGCAAGAGCTCGATTAGTTTGAGTTAAGGTTAAAGATAAACCATTTCGCAGGATATTGCGTGTCAACAACGCTGTTGCAGCCATGTTGGACTATTATGTCGAGGTGGGCCGAATTGGCGTGAGGAGGCGCAGACATCAGAATCTACAGTATAGAGTGTACAGTACTGTACGTTATACTGTACTCTAGTAACAGTACGGTACTGTACCATCAGTACCGTACAGTGGCAATACTGTACAGTACTGTACTGTGCACTGTACACTGTACACTCTATACTTTCCAGACAGGGGGAGAATGGTCCTTGAGCAGAGTAAAACTACGCAGGCTGTTTTACTGGTCATTTCAAGTATATTGCATGTCTGTAGCGGAACACTATACTGACGTTGGAGGCTATCATGGACTGCTAAAATGAAAGGAGGTCGGCTTCTTCTTCTAGTAGTCCATGGCTTCGTGTAGTATGGTATACTATCGTAAAAATATGAAGGCTATTTTATAGGTCAGCTCAAGTGTATTGCATGTCTGCAGTAGCAAACGATACTGTCGGCGATTGATACTCCAATTCCAGGCTATGATGGACTATTCAAAGAAGGCCGGTTTCTTCTTCTAGTAGTCCATGACTTCGTGTAGTATGGTATACTATCGTAAAAATATGAAGGCTATTTTATTGGTCAGCTCAAGTGTATTGCATGTCTGCAGTAGCATGCTATACTGTCCGCGATTGATACTCCAATTCTAGGCTATGATGGACTATTCAAAGAAGGCCGGTTTCTTCTTCTAGTAGTCCATGATTTCGTATAGCATGGTAGAGATTTCGGTGATAGTCCAGTTATGGACTACAAAATATGATATTGAATGGAGCTAGTAAAGCAACAAGAACGAGAAAGACGTCCACTGGCCGGTCGAAATCCTATGCTAGCTTTTTCAATTCTCATTTTGATTTTTAATCAACGACTACGATGGAAAGCAATCCCAGTTTTGATCCACCCTAAACCTTCCCCCTCACCATACAAAACCAAGCTAGCAGCCGAATTGGACCAGCATCGTGGACAGTCTAGTGTACGTTTGTAGACATACGATATAGTTGAAATGACCAGGAAAAGAATCGACTAGTCATTATTTGCCCGAGTGAACGATCATTTCCGACCGCTACATCAAGTCCATCCGTCTCTCCTGTCATCAAAACATACCAACGAAGAGTAGAAGTCGAGTGTAGTAGACGATGTATGAGTTCATATCGTAGTATAATACCTATCAAATTGGATCATGGTACTATTGTATACCAACTACCTTCCTGGGGTCCCGGTTCTGCTACGCATGCTCCTGCGATTAGCGCCAATTCAGCCCGCAACCAAATTCGCTGCTGTTATTTTTGCTCGGCGTTGGAAAGCTTTCAATTCCAGTTAACAACTTGGCGTTGTGCTAACTATCGACCAAATATCACATCCATCCACGACCATTGTGCTAGGAAATGAGCGATAGCAAAGTAAGTAGTCTATGGATAAATGAATCCAATCATTATTTCTTGTGGTGTAATCGTTAGAGGCTATTCAGTGACAGGATATGGACCCTTTTCAAGTTGTCCTTCACTTTCGTTCTGTGATGCCATTCTAGCACTAGGACTAACATGGTTAGTCTAGGGCAGATTGACCAAGGCTGGAGAAAATACAAAAGTTTCATCATGTAGTTGCTACTTGCTACCGATCCAGTTGAATGTTGAGTTTTACACTTCAGATTGTTCAATTTTGTATCTATAGGATCGTTTTAGTCATGTAGTCTGTACCGATAAAAGTCGGTCAAGGCGAGAAGGACAACTTGCTCCTCCAAGGTTGTGATGGAATAGCTATCAACCAAAGCTGCTACTTGTTGTTGTAAATGAATGTGATAACAATCTCAGCTATTTCCTTCATTCATGACATGTTAATATTTCAATTGTCACCATTGTCTACATAGCCATTGGCCGTCTGATGGCAAGACGAGCTCATGCGCTGCTTAAATAGCAGCCATGACTGAGAGTAATCGATAGCATGAACTAACAAGAACGCTGAAAATTTCAACTCCAATTCTCTTAACCAAGCTGCTTTCAAGTTTTAACTTGCCCCACAATCCAATTTCATCCTTTTTTTCTCCACTGATCCAGTAATCTTTGTGGAAATGACTAAAAATGTTAAAATAGTGCAAGTCATCTACGTGCTTGGCCACACAAGAGTAGATAGGATATAAAAAAGACAACGTATGAGCATATTATTGTAGAAATAGTAGGGCCAAAGCTACATTTTATGATAGTAGATGCTACTCTCTTATGAAAGATAGATTTAGATGAAATTCAATAGGCTCTAGCCGCATCAATTAAGGAAATTTGAAGAATAAGTACTTTACAGTAAGGATGAAGGCAATTGTCACCTTCACTATATATGTGCATACTTAAATAACCTCATCGCTCAAAACCCAATAGGATGATCTACAAAAGGCAATGGAACGATAGATCCACCCTGCTGTCATAATGCTGTAGAAGCAGTTGAGACAGTGAATCCTACTGTAGCAATTTGTAATCTGTGGCAATAGTGATTGATTAGTAATCCAATCGTTCTTCGTCTTATGCTTTTCCCTGTCTTTATACCTTCAGTTTTAAGGCTAATCTCACTTAAAGCTCGTATTTATTTGCTTTGCAGGACGAACCTCCTCAGAGCCCGGATGTCCAATTCGAACCAATTGTCACTCTAGCTCCAGTTGAGGTTAAAACTAATGAAGAAAATGAAAGTGTTTTATTTGCTGAGTAAGTGAAAATAAACGATGCCATCATGTTATACCGTATGCTAGCGTATTAGGATAGATAGCATACTCTGAAAGACTACTGCAGACATACTGCACAAAATACAGTACTCCGTCGCCACAGTTGACGACGTACACGATAGCATCAAATGATTGCTAGAAATGTACAACGCTGTCTGCAGTTTTATTCCTCATGGTGTTTAGGAGAAGGAGTCTCGCCTGTTGAATTGAATAGTAGTATTCACGTATACACGGCTCGAAATACATTCAATAGTAAACTACTACAGTAACTGCTATAGACTGCAGGCATCATATTCATAGTACTGTAGCATAAATTTACATCGTACTAAACTACCGCTGCATGGATATCATATTTATAAATAGAAAAGCGTAACAATGATCACTACATTAGATTGCCAATCGAGATCTCGCTGTCGAACATGACACTATTTTTTGTAAATGTTTTCGGCTACCCTCCTCAGGAGAGCTAGGCTATACAGGTTTGACAAGGCAAATGATCCTCCCGAATGGAAAGAACGTGGAACTGGTGAAGTTAAAATTCTAATAGGAAATGAAGACAATAAAAAAAGGATTGTTATGAGACGTGATAAAACATTAAAAGTTTGCTGTAACCATTATGGTAAATCATACCTGTTAATTAGACTGAAATTATTGATATAATATGAAGTTACACCATTTTTTTTCCCATATTATTGAATTAATTACTATAACTATGAAATATACCTAGTGGTGTTGCTACAGTAATACAGTGCTTATTGTTCCGAGTTGAACAGTCTGCGATCTCAATGTACTGATTATATATAGCGTGTATACAGTTATAATGGTGAATATTAAAATTGAAAGTTTATGTAGATTCATTTTATTTATATAATTATAATTTATGTAGTCTCTCCGGATATGAAATTAATACCAAGTGCAGGAAGTGATAAGGCCTGGGTCTGGACAACGTCGTGTGATTTTGCTGATGAAGTATCAACACCTGAAAATCTGGCAATACGATTTAAAGATTCAACTAGTAAGTTATTAACAAAACAATAATCGAATTGTTATGATTTATTTCATCGCTCTGTAGTTCAACGCTGCTGCAATAAGTTTCCTTATCTAGTACTAAAGCAATAGTAACAGTAATGATCATCGCAGAAAACAGTAATGTATAACGATCACTTACCTATCAGCTACAACAAAACTTTTTAGTTGCTTGTAGATTTAAGGATGTATTCGAGACTGCTGAACCTTCGACATCCGAAAAAGATGAAAGTAAGGATGTTGCAGATAGATTAGAGGGACTAAGTGTAGCGGAATCGAAAGAAAGCGCTAACTCAGGTGATAATGAAAAGGATGATAATAGTAATGAGGCAGCCAAGGAAGCTAGCACGAACGAGCCAACGAATGAAGGAAGTAGCAATGAGACGGCCAACGAAAGCCAACAGGAAGCAGGTGAAGAAAAAAAATCTGAAGATGATAATCAATCTGCTGAAGCGAGTGCAACAAAAGAAGAAAGTAGTTCAGTTAAAGCAGCTGCGGCGACTGAAAACTGATAGCAACCAATGTCCTTGGTGCTACGTATGGTTTTGAACACATGACGACTCCTATTATGTAAATTCCCGCGGGTTGTATATTACTTTCTGCAATGCTTAAGATGCGTTATCCACAATCTTCATCAAATTGGTGTGATATAATATTGTAGATTGATTTGAATGTACAGGCTCTCAAATCAGCTGTTTGTGTTTAAATTCGTCTAGATTTAACATCTGGATTACGTTCTATAATTATCGTTTGAAAAAATTGTCAACAAATAATGCAAGTGTGACTTAATGCTTCGACTGGCATATAGATTCTGGTAGCTAATTTAGCGGTTTAATTGATATCAACTTTATGATGACGCAGTCTGCTGGAAGAAATTGTAAAATTGGTTATGAATGAAGGTGCTCTGTATATGAAGCGGCACAATATTGTTACGATTGACGCATTTTTATTATAATCATGTAAAATGTTATTAAGAATGTAGTTGCATAAACTGGTATAAAAGCGAGATCATTATCAGTGCCATAGCTAATAAAACTGTTTAAAAAAAGTTATTTTGGAAACCTTGTCGATGTCCATGAGTTCAAGTATACTTTTGGAAGCTGTCGTATAAGCTCTGCAACGTTTCTCAATACAGCATTTATATGTTGACATGCTGCAACTGATGACAAAAGAAGGATTTACCCTAGGGCCTAGGTTATTCTTGTGAAATTTTTGGCAGAAATTGTGTCTAAATTCATTGCATCGCTCTGTTCACTAAGCTTTGCCTGTTCATTAAAATTAGTGCTATACCGTATCGACTTACATTGGCATATTGTTTTTTTATTTGAATCATTGCTATATGTACATTTAAAAAAATTTCTTCACACAAATTGGATTTCCAAAGTCTCAAATCGACTTATATCTTCACATATTGTTGACGCTATTGCATCATGATTCAATAGGATTGTATGGAGCACTGATCATGATGCAAGTGTTATAAAATGTATATGACTCACATATTAGGGTATCTAATCTATTTCACAAAAACATTTACGAGAAAAATATATACTCCATTTTTACATAAAATCTCATAATTCTGATATCGTACGTGCGACTAGTAACCTTTACATCAAAAAATGCATATAATACATGGACAGAAACTATACTTATGTTCGACCAGGGTCGAAAGGGGTTGAGCATTTAAAACAATTTATACATTATGACGTTACATTTCCAATATTAATCATTATAGTAATCTACATGGTAGTATACTGGCTTGAAGATAGAGGTATATGTGACACGCATCATTTTTATAGTTATCAATCCATACAATAAAAACTAATATAAAACAGATTACTATAACATGAAGTAAAATGAACAGCTATTCGTCGATGTTGTTTACAACATTACACTTCCAATGTTTCGTTAATTCATAAAATAATAGATCTATGTATTGTTTCTACGTACTACTTGAGTTAGAATTGAGTATTAAGCCTTCTAAATGTCTGACGTGGCCAGTATCTATAAGCCATTCCTAATAAAGTTATATTTTTTAGCAGAGTGAAAAGAGACAACAAGTTTTCTTGTACAATACTGTACCTCAAATTTTTCTTGAACTAATTTCTTAAATTTTGATTTGTCAGCATCACTCAAGCCTTGTGCGTCTAAGTACTGGTGCCACTTTTTAATATCGCTATAAATAAGATAAAAGAAGTATAAGAGCAGTTCTATACACGTACTCAAAACTAGAATAAAAATTGAGCAATATCAAGAGTTTTTCATTCTTTCACAAAAATACTACTAACGCTTCCTTTTCCAAGAGAGCTTTCCTATAATCCATAGGCATGGCACAAGGATTAGCCTACAAAAGAAATATTTTGGATTAATCAAAATGGACTAGTTTTAAGGTTATGTAGCGATCCACCTAACCAGATTGTCTTATAGTAGTTATATCACACCACTTTATACTAACTGTAGTATCTCCTTCCATTGTAAGAGGTATTGTGAACTGTCTAAATTGGCTTAATTTCATAAATTTATAATCAGACGTAGGCTCGGTGCTATCGCTCCGTGGACCTTCAATTAAAAAGGATAAGATGAGGAGCGCTGTTGGAGAAAGTTACTTATATTTTATTTGATATATCCAGATATGTTTTCAGAAATAGTATTTTAGCCAAATCAAGGTGTACAAATATCTACATTTAAGCTGACTAGCTAGTTTACCTATGCTAATGACTTGGTCCCATAGATTAACTGTGGGTAGTAAACCGACTTCTTGCATATGTTTTGACAAGAGAGGATAGAACGTATGATAAGGGGCTATAGTAATATTATTATTACCGATAAACATAACCGGCTTGGAAGGAGTGCACAAGTGATATGTGCAGTTGTTACTAGACCTAAAATGGAATAATAAATCTATATAGCGTAAGTCATTATATCATTAAATTGAGTATGGACGAATAATGTTTACTAACGTCGAAAAAAATTGATGACAAGTTGCTATCACAGTGATGTCATCGCCTGATATGCAATGGACGGTAGTTTCAACAGCTCCTAATACTACAGTTGTATGTCGGCATTTTTCGATGATAACATATCTATCGATGGGTATATATATATACGATGCATATTTAAGATGATACGAATATTAAGAAAACTATTATCAAAGTTTGATTTCGATAGCACGTGCGTATTTTACATAGAAACTAACTTTAAAGGAGCCAGAAGATATATATATGAAAAATGGCATCGATAAATCTTGACACCACTGTGTTCCATTTCAGAAGTCTAAAGCATATTTCATTTAATTGTTAAGCGATCGATATAAGCAATAGAATTACACCAAATACCGCTATAGCGAGCTGATTAGAGGAATTTATTTACCTTGATGATGGTTTGTTTGCATACTTGTGCTAGTATAGTTAGACGGTCACTATTTTGCGAGATAATTCGTTAATCCGTTATTTATTTAGAAATAACATATCAATAGAGTATAAAAAATGAATAAATCGATATCTGATACTTAAAGAGCACTGACAATAGATACCTTGCAGGTGCAATAGAACGATTCGATATAATTTTACCGCTTCGATTACTGGCAGAATCGTCAGGCGTTCGTGGCGATGCGCTACTTTGCCGTTCGTCTCTTGTTTTAAAATCTGCACCTGATGCTAAAACATCATTGTTACCAGATACGGTACGACCTAATAACCTAGGCAGTCGTTCTCCGTTTATAAGACATGCCATCGTTCCAAAGCAGTTGTCTGATAGATTACTCCGCAGCCAAGACTGGAATCTTTTCAAGGAAAATGTACTGGAAATCTTAAATTATTTTTATAAATTGATTAATATGCATCACAATTATCAACTGATCACTGATCACTGATCAAGGTATTGAGTATCAAAAGAAGCCCTCATTGGTTAATTATTGCTAGTCTTATTATAAATATAGACGTATCTACATTCTATATATAGTATATAGTGCGTACTCGAGTTTTCATTAGTTAAATACCTTAGAAAATCCACTTTTACCGGCTTGGCTAGACATACTAGCAATTTGCCGTACTTTCATGACGTTTCTATTTCAAGGAAGGGTTTAAAACTTAATTATTGTTATAGTTAGCAATAAAGCTTATCATTGCGAGTAACCTACCCATCGACTTGACCTCCAATTAAGAACCCTAATGCATCAACAGCATCAGCAGTTAGCAGGTGTTCATTCTCAGAAAACGCTTCTAAAATGCGAGAGGAGATGAATCAATTTCGCTATGTATTGTAATGAGAGGATTTAGAAGCCCTGAAGATGGTATCTAGTACTTTACTAACCTGGTTCTACAAGTAATTGTAAAAGTTCGGTAAGATTGTTGGACACGTAACTTAAATATTTTTGTTCGTCAAATTGCTAAAGGTTTTGATTTGGAATATTAATACAAATATTGTATCAGATGTCAATTGAAAATTAATATTTTTATGCAATCGTAGCTTAAAAACCTTTGAACCAGCGTAGTTTCTGTTATCTAGATCTGGTGATTTTGATCGATTAGGCCATCTTAATTATGTGTTAAGAAATACAGCAGTAAAAATTGGCTTTGAATAGCTGAATTTTTCGGTAGATATTATCTAATAATTTTAGTGCTTGGTAATCTGCAATGGAATTTATTAGTATTGTACTTAAAACTATTAGCTAAAAAATGCAATTATATTATTTTAGCTTTAAATTATCAATATCTACTCAATTGGTTGCAAGGATACTCATCGCCAGATGCAAGGGATGACTTTAGTGACAGCTTTGTGAATTGTTGAATACGTAGATAAAGTAAAAAGTCTAAGGTTTTGACGGATAAGGTAGTTTTCGCTTGTTCTATTATTAGATAATATGACAAGAGTACAGGTATGTTATTCTATACTACTGGGTGAAAAGTTTAATTTGTGTACAGTTTATCTATAGATAGATTTATCAGGGATACTATTTATCGCATAAAAAAATGAATTTTAGATAGTAAGATAAAGAAACCAACCAGTAACAGTGGCATCTTCGTTTGTTAATGATTGAATCCAATTTATTCGATCACGTTGAGACCAATCACTAAGGAGGTAAAATGTTTTGAATAGCCTAAACAACATAAGACATTTCTGTTGTTACGTTTTCTGTCTAATTGCAATATCTATAGCGAAGCTGGTTTAAGCTATTCCAGACGAATACGAAAGAACAACGTATCTCGACTGAGTAGGTAGTTGTGTGGTACTAGGTACAAGCAGTTCAATTTAAGATACTCGTAATATGAAGAGTATCATAATTATGTCCGACTTTCTCGACATTTCCGTTGTTGTTTTCTGTCTAATTGCAATATCTATAGCGAAGTTGGTTTAAGCTATTCCAGACGAATACGAAAGAACAACGTATCTCGACTGAGTAGGTAGTTGTGTGGTACTAGGTACAAGCAGTTCAATTTAAGATACTCGTAATATGAAGAGTATCATAATTATGTCCGACTTTCTCGACATTTCCGTTGTTATGTTTTCTGTCTAATTGCAATATCTATAGCGAAGTTGGTTTAAGCTATTCCAGACGAATACGAAAGAACAACGTATCTAGACTGAGTAGGTAGTTGTGTGGTACTAGGTACAAGCAGTTCAATTTATGACACTCGTAATAAGAAGAGTATGTCCAACTTTCTAACTATTTGCACCGTTGGTAATTTGTATGGGTGCCTGTTGAAACTGATCACTACACTAAAGTGCATAAAAGGTATCTTGCTCGATATTGTGTTATGAAGAAGCACCGTTGATGACAATGAATCGCACATTGTACGTAGAAGATCTACAATCGCTAGCATAACATTATTAAATTCTCATTACTATTATTTCGCAACTGAAAGGGCGACAAGAGCTACAATAGATCATCCATTGCATATTAGCTGTACATCAGCGACAAATCAACAAGATCATGTGTATTGGTATGGCTATAACAATTGACGTTGTCAACTTACAGCCAGGCATGTTCTTCCGACATTTGTAATTTATTGCAGGCAACATGGCGCCAAACTGTATAACTAGAAAAAGGAATAGATAGCGTTCCATCAATAACTTGTTTACTTGTGGGATAATTAGTATGATTGAGTTAGGCTTTTAAAAGTATTCTCTTCATTGATTCTTCAATTCGACTGACCTTAGGCGAGGATATCCAGCCTTTTCTTTGGCTTTGGCGTAGACTGCCAATTTTAATAGATTCTACAAGTCAGAATAAAGATCGATGCAGTTTTTAGGAGTTGAAGTTCAAGGCAACATGTTATCACTGTTATCGTTGGTAGATATCGATTATCCACCAACTATACTTGTCAATGATGTAGGCTAGGAGGATTACTGTACAATAAATTGATTACTTCATTTTATGAATCATTGCTCAACCAAGTTGATAAGTTTGTTGTTAATCAATAATAAATCATCACATCTGTAGCATAATGATACGTCGTTAGATAGGCGGTTCTAAATTACTCTCTTGACTGTCGGAATAATGTTACGAGATCAATACAGTTGTAAGAAATAGTTGAAGCAAAATAAAGTCAGGAGATGATTTTAAAGGCACACAGTTGACATAGCCATTTGCTAACGTTGAAAGGCTAATTTGGACATCATCTACTCTACCGTAACGGCGTCATTGTCCATCAGGAATGGATTGCCTCCAGAGTAGCTTACTACAACAGGATGGACTTTGTACATTAGGCTGATTAACTAGAGATTGTACTGGATAGCGGTAATCATTATTGCTTACATTGTAGGTAAATCGGGGATAAAATGATAAATGCAATAAGCCACAATCCAATGGTTGTGGATGCACCCACAATATGACCGACATTACTTCAGTTGATCAAAGTCTGCGAGCTCGTAAGTCCAATCAACAAGCTATCGTAAACGAGAGGTAGACTTGAATCGGTTATTCCATGATTATCATGGCAGTAGACCGTCTCCAATTGGAGTAGCTGACCATCAGCTCGTGCTATTTGCCTTCTCACCGTGATTTCCACGAAGGAAATGCAAGTAAAAGTTGTTGGCAACGACGAAGACAACAAGAGTAGCTGGAATGGATGTCGAATGCCACCTTAGCCCCGCTGAGTACACCAATTACTATTGCATTAGGCTACTGTACTATACAGTATACTCCAGTCCAGTATGGCGCGCTACAGATCCAGCAATCCATAGGGAAAATCCCAGCCAGTCCAACAGGACAGTCACTCCCTCTATTGCCAATGTCTGTCTTGGTAGTCTATAACTCGGTAAAAGTATGCAATTCATGGCGATGTGATGTAGACTGCAGCCAGGCACTTGGACGATTTCCTTGCGATCAATCAAGCCAGCAAAGGAATAGTTCAAGAGAGACTTTTGGATTTTGGCCAAAAGTTCCTGCTACAACTGTCATTCGCTCTACTGCCAATGTCTGTCTTGGTAGTCTATAGCTCGGTAAAAGTGTGCAATTCATGGCGATGTGATGTAGACTGCAGCCAGGCACTTGGACGATTTCCTTGCGATCAATCAAGCCAGCAAAGGAATAGTTCAAGAGAGACTTTTGGATTTTGGCCAAAAGTTCCTGCTACAACTGTCATTCGCTCTACTGCCAATGTCTGTCTTGGTAGTCTATAGCTCGGTAAAAGTGTGCAATTCATGGCGATATGATGTAGACTGCAGCCAGGCACTTGGACGATTTCCTTGCGATCAATCAAGCCAGCAAAGGAATAGTTCAAGAGAGACTTTTGGATTTTGGCCAAAAGTTCCTGCTACAACTGTCATTCGCTCTACTGCCAATGTCTGTCTTGGTAGTCTATAACTCGGTAAAAGTGTGCAATTCATGGCGATGTGATGTAGACTGCAGCCAGGCACTTGGACGATTTCCTTGCGATCAATCGAGCCAGCAAAAGGAATAGTTCAAGAGAGACTTTTGGATTTTGGCCAAAAGTTCCTGCTACAACTGCCATCCATTCTCATCGCTGAGCATCTAGTTTATGCCAGTAGATATTATCAAGAGGGATGGACTGCAGCCAGCAAATTGTACACTCAATGTGCATTCTACATTGCCTCTAAATCAAAACACCAAATGCTTTAGTGAGCATTGCAAGAGAAAGAGACTGGCTGATTGGAGGAAAAGTCTCTGCTAGAACTACGATCAATTCTCATCGCTGAGCTTCTACTTCATGCCAGCGAATATTCTATTGCGGGATGGACTGCAGCCAGCAAGTTGTACACTCAATGTCCATTCTACAGTGCCTCTAAATCAAAACGCCAATGCTTTAGTGAGTATTGCAAGAGAAAGAGACTCGTTGATTAGGGGAAAACCTCTAGTTCATGCCAGCAAATATTCTATCGATAGAATATTTGCTGGCATGAACTAGACGCTCAGCGATGAGAATTGATCGCAGTTCTAGCAGCAACTTTCCCCAAATCAACGCGTCTCTTCTCTGC